AAGAAAATAAACACAGATGGAAGAAATGAAGAGAATGTTGCTGAAATGTGTTAAAACTGGAGAAAAATCATGTGGCTCTCAGTGGCTGAAGGTTAAGTTTGGTGTCTAGCGACATCTAGTGGACAGAATGAACCCTGTAGCCATTGGAATTTGATTTTTTTCATGAAACGGTTCTGTACTTTAGTGTCAATACGTTTAGTACAGTAATTATTAGAGCACGACTTCATACTGCAGGTTATCGTATACACACTAGTACATGACATTCCCCAGACCAGACGAGTGGCAGTCAGGTAACGTAAGCCTTTATCAGGCTAGATTGGAGCACACCCAGTAAGTACCTTGTTGATCGAGGACCAGACACACAGCCACAACCTGTACCATCTGTTGTTGTTTTATAGCATAGCTTTATACTATATATACCTGTTCTATAGTTTAACTTGGCCTGAAGCTTTGATTTTCCTAGAACATATGAAGAAATATATTTCTGATATCTGATTAAAGAGTGTGTCAACTCCTAAGAACATACTTTACCCCATGCAAACTCAAGTCACTATAAAATAAAAAACATCTTAAAATTTTGACAAAAGATTTAAGATTTGACAAAATCTTGACTTCCTTCCACATGCAGGACTAAAAATCGGTATCACAGGAAAATGATGGAGACTGAACAGAGAACAGAGTCAGGTGTGTGTGTTTGTTTATTTATCAAGAATCAGAGTCACATCAGGTTTAACTGCTGCCCTGTTTAGCAGCCAGTCTCTTGTCTCTCTCCTCAGCAATGGTCAGACGGATTCCCTTTCCTCTGGGCAGGGACACCCACGGCTTGTTGCCCTGAGAGGGGAGGGAGGAATCACAGAAATGATCAAAAAATGTTTATTTGAGATCATTCTTTAAAAAAAAAAAAAATATATATATATATAAATGCTACAAATGTAGGATTTGATAAGTGAGGAAAAATCTTTTCTAATTGGAAGCTTTTCATTATCTGCAGGTGGAGCTCAGAACTTCTTAGAGGAGATGATCAGATTATTTCATGACTGTTCAAAATGAAAATTCATCCTTGCTCCACAAATCTAGTTTTTGGATTTTGTAGTGTTTTTTTTTTCTTTCAATTTGAGCATTTTTAAGTTTCTTCACCTTTCCGATGACAAAGATGTTGGACAGCCTAGTGGCAAAGCTGTTTCCTGTGCTGTCCTTGACGTGGACCACGTCGAAGGAGCCGGGATGGCGCTCCCTGTTGGTGATCACACCAATACGACCCAAGTTAGCACCACCTGTCACCATGCACAAGTTCGCTGAGGAGACAAAGAGCAACCTTTACTTAACCTTTACTTTGAACGGATGAAAAAAATAAGACAAGATTTTTAGAAGACAATTCACCACAATTCAAAAGGTTATAGATTCATGTGTGACTTTCTCTACAAGAAACATGTTAATGAAAAAAAGAAAAAGTTCAATACAAATAATAATGCAACAATCCCATGTTTCCATTCATTTACACAACAAAACCCCAACAGTTCTTTTAGTTCCATTCCATCAGACTCTCTGCCACACACTCTCACCAGTATCAAACTTGATGAAGTCGGTGATCTTTCCACTCTCCAGGTCAATGCGGACGGTGTCGTTGACCTTGATGAGAGGGTCTGGGTAGCGGATGGTGCGGGCGTCGTGGGTCACCAGGTGAGGGATTCCTTTGGTGCCAATGATGATCTTCTTCACCTTACACAGTTTGTACTGCAGAGGAACCAGAACCAGGTCAGAATCACAGGCTTCACCACAGCAGTGTTTAAAAAAACTTCAAATCCATCAACTGCTGCAGATGGAACAAGAACCAGTTTTATTTTTATCCTCAGCACAATTGTGTGAAAAACTGCCAGGAGAACAGTCTTTACCAACAGCATCCAGATTTCTACTTCGAGACACATGCTCTCATAAATTGACATGGTAAAAGAACTTTTACAACGATATTCAAAGGAAAACCATGTTCACACAGAATCCATCAGTAACTGAATTAGTCAGAGTGTGTGTCAGTTCTTACCTTAGCCTCCTCGGCTGTGATGCGGTGGACGGTAAAACGCCCTTTCACATCATAAATCAGACGGAAGTACTCTCCAGTCTTCTCGATACTGATCACATCTGAATCCAAAGAAAGACAAAAATGAAAAAAATAAATAAATTAAAGACAATTCTCACAAATAAAGGCAAAAACGTTTACAGATCAAACACTGTTGAAAATACATGATTTTCTGCTTGGTTAAATTTAGACACATCCAACATGAAGTTTCCAATAAAAATAAAAAGGTGCAGTAAATGCATCACAGGATTAAAAACTCAAACCTGAGGAAAACGAATAAAAGATCAGGTAACAACATCATCTCTCACAGTACTAACAGAGAGCTCAAAACAACCTCTAGGTCCTGGTCAGACTGGAGCATTACTATTAAATCTAAAGGTCAAATAGTACGTCTGTATATGGTTGCATGTGGAGCTCAGAACTTCTTAGAGGATTAAGTGTGATTTCAGCTCAAAATGATCAAACTTAATGAAGAAAAATCATCATTGCTCCTTACGTAAGTTCACACCAATCAAACACCAGCTCCATTAAGTGTCCACCCCACATTGAGAGTTTGTTTCCATTCTAACGCAGAAGATGAGAAAGTCCTGAATCAAGACTCACCCATGAAACCTGCAGGGTAGGTGACATCAGTGCGGACTTTGCCGTCGATCTTGATGAACCTCTGCATGCAGATCTTCTTGACCTCATCCCCAGTCAGGGCATACTTGAGGCGGTTCCTCAGGAAGATGATGAGGGGCAGGCACTCTCTCAGCTTGTGTGGACCGGTGGAAGGACGAGGAGCCTGAGGAGTAAAAAGTGGTCAAAATAAGACCAAACAAAACGTCTCTTCTTGTTGTACAACTTTCACATTTACTGCCAAAAAATATGTAACAATAATTCTCAACCAGAAGACATGCATCTTCATGCATCTTCACACAGTCAAAAGTTTCATTTTTTATACAATCTTAAATGAACAGACTACAGAACCAACATTCCTCCATTTTCAAAAATTAATTTAAAATTAATTAAAATAATTTTAAAAAAAAAGTCAGGTTCTAAATCAGTTTTTATGCTTAAAAGGAAACATTTTAATCTACCTCACAATCTAGTATAAGAAAAAAATAAAATGACTTAAATAAACAACAGTGGAAATTAGTTTGAGGACATTTTAAAAATCACCAGGTGTGTGCGTCTTGGTAATAACCATAGATTTGAGATTTCAATGTACAATGCACATAGTATCTTTGGTTCACACAAGGCAAAACAAGACTAGCAAACACGTTCATTACTATGAGTATTAACGCATCATATACAAGAGCACGTTTTCACATTTACTGTTCCATTAAGACAAACGAACACAGGAAAAATAATGGAATTTAATTATTCAAACGAATAACTTACAAACACTCCGGTGAGTTTGTCCAGCATCCAGTGCTTCGGCGCTGCGACGCGCTTCAGGTGCTTCTTCGGTCCTCTGGCCTGGACAAAAGAAGACGAACAAGGTCAACAAAATGCAAAAAGTCAGATAACGAGGAGAGAAAATGAACAACTGACACGCACAGTATCAAATAAATGAAGAGTGGTACAGCGAAACGCTCGGACACGTCGGTAGTGGTCCGGCTACTGCTAGTACCCCGATGCTAAAGCCGGGGTCGGCCTAACTTAAAACGAGCAACATAAATAAGTTCTAACGTGCGCGTTCTAATGTATGATTGCGCAGTTGAGTGGTATTATTGTAAAAGCGCATCTAACTGTATTTAGTGGATACCAAAAAAGTCTTCAATTAAAAGTAACGTTGATCTCAAGAGTTAGCCACAATGAACCTAACTAGCTATCAACGCTAATGGCTACCACTTTTTTAAAATCAACCACAAAACAGTTGTATCGCCGTTAACCGTTACAATATAAGCACATATCGTTTTATGTAGTGTTGAATGTCAAATTCTGAACAATAAATATGTGTTTAAATGGTACAGAAAAGCGATGTTTGTAGATATTTTCTTTTAGGAATGGTGAAGAGAATCTGCTCACCATGTTGAAGTCTGCGGGGAAAAGGACTAGCCTTCTTCCGGTTGTCAATCATAAGAACAGCGATGGTGGCCTAAGAGGGTCAAACAAGCTGAAAAGCAAAGCGATAAATACAGCGGGAAGGTTTATATCCATTCAGATCAAGCAATTTAAATAAATACACAACAAATGCAATGGGATATCACCAGAGTTCCTCTCAAAATAAAAAAGTAGTAATATGCGTCTCACAATATGCGTCTCTCTCTCTCTCTCTCTCTCTCTCTCTCTTCTTTTCTTCTTGTATCTCAGTTTAATAGGAAAGACAAAGGGGAAAGAAAGTCGAGTGAGTTTATGATGGACTCATTTTCAGTCGGTTGGAGAAAATGACCTGAAGTTAGTGAAATAGTCATTAAAATATATGTTAATAATAATAATAATAATAATAATGGTGTATTTGTATGCTGTTGGTAAACGCATTTTATTTATTGGGGCATGGTCGTAATGGGGCCGAGGTGTTTTGTGTACAACAATATTTTTAAACTCTTAAATAAAGTAATGATGTTAGGCCACCTGATTACCACTAGGTGACAGCATTGGGCTATTTTATATTGACTTTAAACAGACGAACGTCTTCTCAAATATTAAATGACGAAAATATCAATGTTTCCTGGGTTCAATTTTTCTGGATTTTCAGGTTAGCTTGGAGCTAGGTGTGTCTGAATTTTAAAAAAAACCCAAGAGTATATAATGATCTGATGACTTCACAGAGAACTAGGCTTGCAAATTTAATCAATTAGACTTGAATCTGTCAAAAAGAGGGAATGGTGGGAAATAAAAATAAATAAAAATAAATAAAATACACACAGCTTAAAGTTTCAACTGATTATTGTATTATTCAGAGAAAAATGAACATTTACTCCTAAACACCTAAAAACATGTAGTGCAGACAGAGAAAAACAGACGATAACGTGGTGTAAACAGTTTTTTAACAGCTTTATTGCATCTGATTTCTAATTTCAGCTGAACCATTAAAAATAAACTGTGTTGTTTTATTTTAATTAAATATTTTTTTATTAAATGTTGTTCTTCATAACAACATCAGAAACAAGGTGCCAAGGTTTACACCAGGCAGTTGTTCCCAGCAGACTGACATCAAAGTGAGGAACGTGGCTGAAGGTGAGTTAAAAGGCACAGCTGTGAGGTGGTTCCAGGCTCAACGGTCTGATCCCTGGCTTAATCTGGAAAATCATAGGAAGGCTGCGGGAGGCGGGGGATTGAAAACCACGAGACGATTCAGACAGACTCTGGGTGCAGGGCTGGGAATGCTGCTCTGAGTTCAAACAGCAACAACACAGGAGTTACTCAGATGGGATTAAGGTCAGACTGAAAACAGCGCACGCGCACACACACACACACACACACAGGTAACGAACCTTCAAGGGGAAAATGTCAAGAATGTTATTGTAACCATTTAATAATGGAGAAGGAGGAGGCGGAGACAGCAGTCAGTCAGTCCTGAGGGTGAGGAACATCATGACTTTTGTCTCTGTCTCCACTCCAGTAAATCTCTGCTCAGTGACAGGGCCTGTGAGTGTGTGTTTGTGTGTGTGTGTCTGAGAGAGACAGAGGGGGGAGTGTGGGTCCTGAGGTACTGTGGTTACCATCAGTTAAATAGACATCAAATGTTCTTTGAAAACCCAGTCATTAAAAAATAGCACAAAAATAATTCAAAAATTAGATAGGGCACAGAGCTCATACCAAAGTCCATAGAGAAAATGAGTGATTATAGTCCATGGACACATGTGCTGCTGGTCCACTGCTGCCTCCTCTGGCCAGTTTGTGTCACAGAGTTATTGATAAAAATACACATTTTTCATCAATAACAACTTTGTCCTTGTGAGTTTAAACAGCTGGTTTTGTCTTTGGACTTTGGTGTGGGAGAGTGAGTGTGTCTTGGTGTAGAATCTAACTGTGCGATGAAGACGTGAAGCGATGGTTATGATCCTGCAGACTGTATTAGATGACAGGTTTTGTCAAGCTCCTGGAGTCAGACTTCCTCCAATCACTCATGTTCCATTTAAGCAGCAGAAGAGCTGTCTCAACAACAGCCGTCTCACCTATTAAAGCTTTAACACACACCACTGTCTGACACTCACTTTCCCAGTATCTGTTTCCACACACACACACACTCTCTCTCTCTCTCTCTGGTACACAGTGATGTGCAGTTTAAGAGTTTCTTCTCTGGTTTCTCCGCTGCGGTAACTCCATCCCTGGTCGTCTCCCTGCTTTAGTCCCATGTCTTTGTCAAGTCACTGTAAACTGGACACATATGGTCTCAGCAGGTGTGTGAGGGCTTGGGTGTTTTGTTGCATTCTCCTTTGCACTTACATACAGGTGTGTGCGTGTGTGTGTGTGTGTGTGTGTGGTCTAGGCAGAGACCCACAATGGTCCAGATGACAGACAAGTGGGACAGAGGTGAAAGGGCTTTGTTTCACTGCCCTCCTCCTCCTCTACACGTCTCATTTTACTCCAGCTGATATAGGTCAAAGCCTCCAACACGACTGTATCCATCGACAGCAGGACACACGGCGCTAATGCCTCCTATAGGCGGGAGGAGGAAAGTATCAGGTTTTCAATTTAAACCCCACCAAAGTCAGCGGTGCGACTACCAACACCTGTCAGGGGGTGAACCTGTGAGCTGACAGTGATAGGTGTCCCTCTGTGAGTAAGGACGAGCTCTGATGTGTGTGTGTGTGTGTGTGCCACACAGATGTTCTGGTCTGGTGCTGCCAGCGGTTCCTGGTCTCTTCGGCTCCTTCATTAGTGGTGGAGACGTGGAGGTGATAACAGATGTTCCACAGAAGCTCCTTGTGCAGGTGAGCTGATGGATATCAGCCTGTGTCTTAAATAACATGTGCCGAGGAAGCATGTGAATGAACTAAATAAAAGTCAAGGAGAAAGAAGACGTTTGAGATAATCAGTTCTCAGACAATTGGTGTCTTTGTCAAGTCCAGAGTCAGGAGTCTGATTCCCATGAGACTGAGCTCCGATTCTGTCCACCAACTGAAGACGGACACAAAGAGGTTCTCTTTCTGAAGAGAACTGAAGAGGAAAAGAAAAAAGTCAGCAGGAGGCGCCGCCGCCACCACCAAGAACCACAGTGCCAGGAACGGAACAGTTCTTGTCTCTACTGTCTGCTTGTGTTTCCAATGAGGTTGAAGTCCAATTCACACAAATCAGTTCTTCTGCTGGCTGAAAACAGTTCCATCGTTTTTGGTTCCTAGGTGAAAACAAACAGTCCCACAAGTACTAGAAGATCATGGAGGCCCCCTCACCCAGAAGTCAATCATTCACAGACAACAGTTCTATTAAAAAAAGCTGTTTGTGGGCCAATCAGAAAGCTGTGTGCTGTAAGCTCCACCCACCTATTTACTGAACTCTACCATAGTCCTCCCCCAGGAACAGGAACTGCTTTTACATTTATTCTTAATTCCTGTTATGAGCAGGAAGTGCACATTTTCCGAGATTTTTGTTTGTGATGCTAACAGTTCCTGGTACTTTCTCTAATTTAGTTTGTTCTTGATTTTACTCTCTTGGTTCCTGATACTTGTTTTGACTGTAAAAAAAGAAAACCCAGATACTTCCTGGTATTGGTACTTTTTCTGGTTCTATTTTGTGCCCTTAAAATTTGAGCGCTTCCAGGACCAGTCCATGGAACTTGTTCCTTTCAATGATTCAATCAATCCTGGATTGTGAACTGAAACAGTACCAGAACCTGTCCTCAGTTCTATTAGCCCAGAATAAGAGGAACAAAGAAGGACCTAGTGGAGGGAATATCTTTCTGCTGATTATTTTCTACGAAGACTTTTAGATTTTTGAAGAACAGTTCTCCGTTCCTCCTGTAAATGTTTTCAGCATGAAAGTAAAACAGTTCCATTCTTTTCATTTAATCGGTTCCATGTTGCATCATCCCAGAAAAGTAGGAAAAAGTAGAAAACTCCTGTTGAAGAATTTCCAAGCTCAGCATCCAGCAGGAACATCGGTCATGAAATCAAACTCGTTCTGACCCAGCCACAGTTCTGGAAGCTCATTGGCTCGATCCAGACCCAGTTCCACAACAAGGGACATCAGAACCTCCTCGTCCACAGGATCAAAGTCTATGAGACCTCCTGAACCAGAACCCTGGTGTTGGAGCCCCACTCCCATCCCAGCTCCGCTGAGACCTCCACTATGGACCAGGGTCTGGTTCACTGGCACCAGAGGTGAGACAGTGAAGCTCCGTGGACCTCCAGGTGGCGCTGTATGTCCAGCAGGAGACCCGGTCAGGTTCTGGTAGTGTGAGTTGAGCTTCTGCAGCTGCATGCTGGCTATGAGGTGAGGCCCGGTCTGGAGACAGAAACTCTGGGGTTTGGAGAGTGGTGGAGGTGCTGGTACTGATGATGGGGAGGAGGAGGAGCCTGTGGACGGGGAAAACGGTACCAAGGAAGATTTGGAGGAGGAGAAGTGGAGCAATGAAGAGAAAGAAGATGAGGAGGTAGAGGAGCAGGAAGAGGAGCTGAGGTCCTTCATTACAGCACAGGGGGCGTGGCCAGAGAACAGCAACGAGGTCATCACCAAGAACCGCACCAATCTGAGGAAAGAAGAAAAATGATTTCATAATTAGGAGTAAGAACAGTGGAATGTTTGTGGTCATAGCTCATGAACTTCTGGTCGTGTGTGTGTTGACGTTTTTACAGATGCTACCGTGAAAACACAACTACACGGAGATCGTCCGAGCTGCAGCAGTGACATTTGACACCGGTCATTTTAGAAGAGCAGGAGTTGGGAGAAATTAAAGGAGTAGTTCACTGTTTTAAAGGCCATTATTTTGACTTAGTTTAGAGTTTCAGTCAAAAAAAACAAAAAACAAAAACAAAAGCTGTGTTGACTCTACAGACATCTCTTTTCTTCTGACCCAGTAAGGACGACTCTGTTTGTGTGTAAAAATTGGACTTCTTTGAAGATCTAACGCACACACACTGATTGTGTCACATGATGTTGATGAGTACATGCGGGTCCAGAGAACAGAGCGAGTGTGTGTGTGCCAGTGTGTGTGTGTGTGTAAAGAGCAGAAAGTTTGTAAGTGCAGGAGAACATCGCCACCAGTGTGTTGGTGTGTAATACTAACCAGCAGAGAGCTGAGGACTTCAAGGGTCTTTTTACAAGAGGGTTTGAGTAACACACACACACACACACACACACTCACCACACTCAAAATGAATTGAACTTAAATCTTCCGTTCCAGTGAATCAAAACGTCCCCAAACACAGAAAATGAACACTGAAACAATCGGCTAAAAAAGAATAAATCTAAAAAAAAGTATCAAAACAGGTCAGAAAGAATTAGGCTGCAAAAAGTTAGCAATAATAGCTACATTTAACATAATTTACCTTAAAAGTTAGACTTAATCACAAACATAAAAATTATTTATTTAAAAAATGTTTTAAACAATAGAAAAACATTATGACAAAGTTAGCTCATCTATTCATCTTTAAAAGATCATAATAAAATATGAAACATATCTACCAATCCTAGGACTTGTTGTAAATATAAAAACTGAAGTTAAAGTCACTTCATGATGAGAATGAATTAAAACAACAGCGAAGTCAAGGACAGTTTAAAAACTCCAAAAACGAACTCAAACCCAACCTCAGAACTGCTGCTGCTGCTGCTGCTGTTGTTGTTGTTGTTGTTGTAAAAACAAAAAGTGGATAAAGGGAAATACAGAGAACAGCGTCCTGGACTACAATCGGCTGACAACAGTCTGGTCATCAGAAAGCTGCTCTAACAAACCTATGTCAACACGAGCATCTAAAAAGAAGAGGAAATGAAACTGACCTTCAGGAGGAAAGACTAACTCTCAGGTGAAACAGAAATGGAGATGAAAAAAAAAAAAAAAACAAAACAGAAAAAAACCACTGATTGTTGTTGTTCCTGTGAGTCGGTGTGTGATCTGCTGCTGGGTCTGAGCTTCATTTCAAACACTCTTCACTCCAAGTGTGTGTATGTGTGTGTGAATGAGAGAGGGCGGGAGAGAGAGAGAGAGAGAGAGAGAGAGAGTATAAGTCCTCATTGGCTGACTCCCAAAAACCAAGAACTGGACTTTCAAGGATCTGGAGGGATAATAAGGGTTAAACAAAAAAGACCAGTAAAACAAATTTTAACATTGAAAATTGGTATAAAAAACATAACAAAAAATAGAAACAATAAAAGTAATAAAAAGAAGGCTAAGGAGTCACATGTTCTTCAGCTGTGAACCACAGCCATGTGTTGGTTCATGTTCAGAGCTTTTATTGTCACGTAAAAATGGTCCACATGAAGACAAGAGGACACGTTATTCAAATCAAGATGGAAAAGAAAGACACACACACACACACACACACACACACACAGCTTACTTGAATAAAAACACAGACCACGCCTGAGAAAAACCAGTTTTTATTTGTCCCAGACAAAAACAGCAGCAACAGGATCTGGACCATTCCCAAAAGAGCGTGAGCAGTTTCCAACGTTCATGCAAATGTTTGTGAGTGAAGACAAAAGTGTGTGAAGCAGCAGGAACCACAGACACAAACAGAGGAAGAGGAGGAGCAGGAACTGTTGGTCTGAACAGACGGTTTTTATCCACGGCCCTGCAACTGAGGCTGCTGAAGGGGGCGTGGCTTTTTTACAGAAAAGGTGGGATCAGTACAATGTGACAATAACAGAAGGAATGGAAGCACAGGCCAGTGAAAAGAGACGACAAGGTCCTTGGTGATTTCAGCTCAACGACCAAAGTCCAAAGAGAAAATCAGTGATTTTAGCTCACAGACCAAAGTCCATAGAGAAAATCAGAGATTTTAGCTCACAGACCAAAGTCCATAGAGAAAATCAGAGATTTTAGCTCACAGACCAAAGTCCATAGAGAAAATCAGTGATTTTAGATTTTAGAGCTCACAGACCAAAGTCCATAGAGAAAATCAGTGATTTTAGCTCACAGACCAAAGTCCATAGAGAAAATCAGTGATTTTAGCTCACAGACCAAAGTCCATAGAGAAAATCAGTGATTTTAGCTCACAGACCAAAGTCCATAGAGAAAATCAGTGATTTTAGCTCACTCAAAACATTTCCCACAGATTACTTTTTCTTGTCGAACATAGTGTTTGTTTTTCCTGCACATCTTCCTCAGGGAGATAAAAAGAGACACAGAACACCTGAAACTAGGCAACTCCAAACACAAAACAGTTTAATACTCAGTATAAAATGGACAAAGTGATGGAACAGAAGAAACAGAAAACATGTCTTCACACTCATGGCCAATAACTGTCCTTTCGCTTCAACATCAACAGTGACCACAAATAATCAGACATTTCTCTACAGAATGACAAAATAAAAACAGACATATGACCTCTGTCTCATTAGGATGTTTTTTCCCCTGGAAAATGTGGAAACCTGTTTTCCAGAAACACTTCCACGCTGACTCCTTCCTGCCTTCATCCCTGCATCACTCCCTCCACGCCTCAGGGTGAAGGAGTCTAAGTCCACATTGTCTTCATTAAAGACCATGACCTGCAAGTGTGTGTGTGAGAGAGAGGGAGAGAGAGAGGCTGAGGGTCCTAAACCACATTCTTTAAATTCCCTGTAAACAAGAAAAAGAGAAAAGAATTGAGTTTAAGGAAGCATAAAACATCTGGACAAACCACTAGCTGTACTATACAAAAATACAAAGAGATAATTGTGATTTTAGCTAAAAGATACACAGGAGACCCTGCCCCTTGTGGTCAGCTTTCTTACAACTTTTATTTTAATAAAAACTTCTAATGCCTAAAACATTTATTCAGTAAGCTGATTTTCTCTCTACTTTGGTCTGTGAGCTAAAATCACTGATTTTCTCTGTGGACTTTGGTCTGTGAGCTAAAATCACTGATTTTCTCTGTGGACTTTGGTCTGTGAGCTAAAATCACTGATTTTCTCTATGGACGTGGACTTTGGT